AACGAATCCTGGAGGGAATTCTGCTCGTGGTGCCCCTTATCCCCTCTCAGACTCCTCGTGCCCTCCATGTGGACACTCTTCTTGGGCTCCTGTCTCTGCAGGGAGGTGTCGAGGGCTTGCGGGAGCAGGTCTGCCTTGGCTTTTCCATGTTGGTGTTTGTCGCACTGCTCTCTGTGTTTCTTCCTTTCTCTTCCCTTCACTCTGTTCTCCGGGGAGAAGGAGCACCTTTTTCTGGAGCTCCAGCTGCAGGTGGTAAGTTGCAGGGGGTTTGGGGTGAACAGGCTGAGCAGGAACGTGCGGGAGCTTCAGCTCGGTGGTGCCCTGCTGCAGTTCCTGCCTACCAGAAGAATTCCCTGTTTCCCAAGCCCGCGTTCTCAGCGTGCTCGTTTCCCACCTGTAAGGTTTTTCCTGCACAGCCTGCAGGACCCAAGCGTCCTGTGCTCCCACGTGATGTTTTAGCCTCCTGTGCACCCAGGTCGCAGATGTCCAGCTTCCTCCTAGGCTCTGTGGTCCACCCCCGTGCACGTACCACCTCAAGCCCTTGCACCCCTGCTGCTGGCAGCCTCTTTCTCCTTGCAGGCAGAATCCCTTTGCAGTCCTCGTGGCCTGGCACCCCAGCATCAGAAACCTGGTCCACTACAACCTGCCTCTTCGCACAGCCCATGCTGTGGGTGCCTGGCATCTCCTAGGGATAGGAGATAGCCAAGAGCAGGCCGCTAAGGCAGAAGCAGGCAGCTCTAGAGTGGTGGGCACCACAAAGACAGCTTGTGCCTCTGCCAGGAGAGCAACAAGGGAAAAGATATTGCAGACACGGCCACCTTTCTGAGGCTTTTGAGCCTCTCAGCTTAGGACAGGAAGGAAGGATTTGGTAGGGTGGGCAGGGAGCCCATTCCTCTGGAGGACATCAGTACATCTGTTTGGGAGGACGAGGAGGGTTTCTCAGTGGGCTTCAAAGACACAGCTCTCAAGGTGACTAGGAAGGAGATTGGGAGCTGCTGGGCTCGGTAGTCAGAAAGTATGTACTGAAAATGGCACTGCCCCCTTCACTGCACCCCCCCTCTCCTGAAATGTCAGTTGGAGGAGAGGGGATGGACCATGCAGAAGGGTTTGCAGAGGAGTAGCCGGAGGGAGGAAAGAGGAATGGGCAGATTTATCACTGCAGGTACAGTGAGACTGGCACTGCGGCCCTTCAGCCAGGACTGGCCTGAGGAGGTCTCAGCCTCTACAGACCCCCGGGACCAGGCGCCTGACCGAAAGGTGATGGGGTAATCTCTTCTCTTGGCGTTTTCCTATTCGGGCAGCCTGAATGACTTTGCATCTCGGCAGCTTTTGTCTGGCCTCGAAGCCCCAGATAGACTGTTTAGGAAGTTTTTCCTTTAGATCTTTATCTCGGTTTTGTCCTCTACAGAGACCCCTTAAGACAGGTACCAGGACAAATGAGAAGGAGCTTGGACACCTTCCTCTGCACTCTTGAATTTTGTCCCCCATGGCCCTGGTACAGGATTACTGACTCTTCTCACCTGTCCCACACACTCACCTTTCCTCTCTCCCTCCCCACTTCCATGTCAAATTTCTCTCCTTCATTCTTCTCTTGCTAGACCTTCAGCCACCTCGGTCCCTCCATCTGTACAGGTGTTTCCGGCGGTGGGGTGGTCTGTGGGATGGTTTGGGTATCGGCTCACTGGCAAACAGGCGTGAGCCGATACCCAAAGCCTGACTGATGCTCTCCACCTGCCACCCCATCACCGTAAGCACCGATTGATCTGCCCCACCATACACCCTGGTCAGAGGTTGCCCTGCCACTGTCTGTCGAGTGCCGTGAGACTTCTGGGCAGGCAGTTCTGGGGACCCCAGTCATCAGCCCAAGGCCACGCGTGCAGCCATGACCAGGCCTCTTTACACCATGCTGAGACCAAAATATTACTGGGGCCTTTTGGAGGAGGATAGTAACACCATGAGCCAACGTGCATCGTTCTCCCCTCCCTGCCCTGACTTTTCCACCTGGTGAAGGCAGCCATGGGCATCTCAAAGGGCTGAGCTGGGAAGCTGCTGGCTGTCAGTGGGCTCATCTGTGCTCACAGATCCATGAAGGAGGGAGAGTGACACAGACATTTGCTTCAAGAGAGCTCCTGTCTGGTAGGTAAGGAGCTCTACACCAGGCAGGGAGCATGCTCGTACCCATATAGCGGTGCATTATGTTTTGTATACCTTTTCCCATTGTCTTTTTACTTCTAGAAGTATCCCCAGCTTCGTCCAGTTCTGGAAATTTCGGCCAATTCACACCCGATTCAGCCACCAGCCCACATTCGGCGTCCTCGTCCCCACAGCCTACGGCTAAGTCTCAGAAGGGCAGAGAAGATGGCTTGGAGGGGATGAGGAAGGCCAAGAGCCGCACGGCTTTCTCCAAGGAGCAGCTGCAAACCCTGCACCAGCGGTTCCAGAGTCAGAAGTACCTCAGCCCCCAGCAGATCCGGGAGCTCGCTGCTGCCCTGGGTCTCACCTACAAGCAGGTGAGCACAGAGACTTTGACCCACACTGTGTCTGTCACACAGTGGCTGAACGGTCACATCAGGCAGTGACAGGATGGAAAGATGAGTCCCCAGCAGAGAGCAGAGGCAAAGGTGCCAGCTAGCTCCCCTGACTATTCATGCCCAGGGATCAGAAGTGCTTCTAGGGGACGGGAGAGGCGGTGGCACCTCATTGAGGCCTCCCCAGTGAGAGGTCAGTTAAGGTTACTGTTGCCGACACTTGCAGTAGAATTGCAAACACGGTGATGAATATGTTGTTTGCCACAAACAGCCTCTGCCCTGGGCTTGACAGCACTTCACAGGCTTTTTCCACGCGCTGGTGAACTTCACAGAAACCCTGGCATGCATCAGGCCGCTCAATCCCAGGGCTGCAACATGCTGAAAGCTATTGCTGACGTTCCCTGGGGCTGATCTTGTCCCATATCTAATAAGGTCCCACTCTCAGCACGCTGCCTGGCTGCTTGGCACCCGCTCCCCTCTCCACATGGGTACTGCTGGGTTCATACATCGCAGCCCGACAGGGCCTCTGCTGATCTCCAGGTGGGTTCTACATAGTGAACTGGTGCTGGTTCAAGTGGTACTGGCTCAAGTGGTGCCTTCCTAAAGCAGAGGGGGTGAGGCAATGGGGCGCAAGTGCTTGCAGTTACGAGTCCCAAATCTGCCCGGAATTTAGATCTCAGAGCTGGGCATGATGGCCTGGATGCCCTGGGATGCCCCAGGACTGAAAAAGTTATATATGCATTGTAGGTGGGCACATAGGCACGCACGCACTGAACTGGTTCTGTCAGGAACAAGACCGGTGGGACAATTGGCTCTTTCCTTCAGTCCACATCCCTGCAAAGGCACGGACACAGCCCTGGGGGAAAACAGCTCTGGAATTCACCCCAGCAAGGAGCTTTGAGTTTGGGAACCACCGAGTACAAGGAGCAAGGCTCTGCCTTCTCCGCTCACAAGCGTGCAGAAACAGCATCTTAGAAGTCTGCCTGTAGTGCAGGGGGCTTGTAGAGACCCAGGTGGCTCTAGTTTGTACCAGATTCATCTCCCTCATGGAAATGAGTCAATTTGTCACAGCTGTAAGTGTCCCGTGGGCATCATGCAGCTCCCTCCCCCCGCATGCAGATGCAGTAGCCACCTGCTGAGGCTGCTAGACAGAGCTCTCCCCTTGGCTGCAACCCCAGGGAGCTTTCAAAGGCCTGTATCTGCTGCCACCCGCCGTGTATCTATGCCATCTGGTCACTCTTGTGGACCTGATAACGTTTGCTCTCCCCTCTCCTTTGCTGATGTTTTTCTCTGCTCTCCCTTCCCCACCCAGGTGAAGACTTGGTTCCAGAACCGGAGGATGAAGCTGAAAAGGTGCCAGAAGCACAACCTGTGGACTGAACGGGCACAGTGCCTCGTGCAAGTAAGAACAGAGTGTGTGGCTCAGCACGGCCCTTCTGGCTGGGCAGATGAGTCCTGGGATGTGTTTCCTCCACGGGGACAACCTAAGCGTGCACGTGTCGGTGCACTCTCCCTTCTGGGCTTGGCACGATTCCGTGTTCCCTAGGTAGCCTAGCAGTGGGCTGACTACGCCACTGAAATGCTTCCAGAGAAAAGCTCTTTTCCTCAGATATGTGTGTATATGTATATATACACGACTGTGTATCCATCCCTGAGCTATGGGGATGGATGTGGTTCTTCTCGCCCTCCCATGCCGTTGCTGCTGATCACGAGACAGCATGAAACGCGAAGGGGCAGAGCCCCAGTACGTGCCAGGCCTGTGGGCACCAGTGGAGAAGCGATGCGTTCTGACTCCCTGTCCTTCCCTTTCAGAGTGGCTTCCAGCCAAGTACTTACCTGGACGTGCACCCCAAATTTCACCAGGGCTACCCGATCACCGCAGCCAGCAACATCCAAACCGTGCCTCCCCCCCGTCAGCACTACGGAGCAGGGCAGAACGCTTACGCAGTCATGGCCAGCGAGGATGGAGGAGTCTTTGGCAAAGGTGGGGGCACCTGCAGCATCCAGCAGACAGTGGGCTTCATTGCCCAGCACAAAGTAGACTTTTACCACAGCTGTCCCGGCAGTGTGGAATATCCGGGCACAAAGACAGGTGACGGCTGTAACTTTCACCACGGGGCCACCATGGGGGCTCCTTTCCCAACCACTGCTGGCCACCATCTCTACCATTCCTAAGCACTGTGGACGTGGGGTACTTGGGCACCCGGGAATCCAATCTTACTCTCATCTCTCCTTTTGTTATCCATGTGCTTTCCAACTCAGGGGCATTGTGTAGCTAGAAGCTGTTTTGGCATCCGAATATTTGCCTGTGAGCGTGCACAGACACGCAGAGGTGCAGACACCCGTTTGCCCACCTATGTACCTACAGCCCTTCATTCGTACGCCCTTACACATGCACACCCCCCTCCTTCTGTATTGGCACAGACACCCGAGTTCCCTTATAGCAAGACCCAAGATCTGGCTACCTAGATTACCCCCTGGATCTTCTAAATTATTGTAACTTGTCTCCGAGGACTCGCAGATTGCTTTGGGGGGTCTCGTTTCTGCGTGTGACTGTGCAGTTGTGTCCACATAACACACGGAGCCGTGGGCTGTACAGAGAGTGCTGGGCACGTACCTTCCCCTGAAGGTGGAGAAGTTACTGTGCCACACTGGGCATTCAGCTGATGGGTTGCCCACCGGTTCTGTTGGTCAGCCACAGGGTACAGAACTGATGAAGCATCTAGTGAAGGGAGACGTGGCGAGTAGCTTGCAGAAAGGCTGGTCAGATGGTCTTATCAGCATCAAAATAAGTCCTTTGTCCTAGTCTGTGTCTTTCTGTGCCTCCTCTCAAGCAAACCAAACAGTGCATTCGATTTGGCAAACAATAAAATATTTTTTTCAGATGGATTATGCATTTTCTGTATCTTTTTTTCCCCACTCTAATACAGCACTGCAGTATGAAATTCAGATGGAGCAGAAATAGCCATAGCAACCGTATGCCATCGTGATTGCTGATGTGACCCTGAAACTATGAACAGAGATTTTTGTTATTAGAGTCATGGTTCTTGGCAATGCCAAGGTCTAAACTGAATACTGTATAAGTGTCTAAGAACCTAAAAACAGGTATGTGTATCAAAGTATATTTAATAACAGAGCCCCAGTTCTGTGAGTCACAGGTTTTCTATCACTCTCGGATGATGACAATGGCCTTATCTTAAAGCAATCAAGTAGCTGTCATGGTTTAAAGAAAAAGAAAAAAGCATGAAATGAAGGCAATTGATGTCTGTAACTGCTGTAATACGAGGCATGGTCTTCTGTTGGCAAAGCTGGTTTATGTCCCTGTGCCTCGCAGCTGCTTGCTCCCACCCCAGCTCCTCCATGCAGCCACTTTTTGACCCTTTGGGTGTTGAGCGATGCTGTTTATAGAGCTGTGCTGCAAACTGTCTGACCAGCGTGATCTGGGGAAAAATCAGGCCTCTCAGAGGGCAAATGTCTAAGTCATAACATTTTGGAGATCCATTTTAAAGCACGTCCCAAACACGCATGTCCTACACCCAGCAAGTGCCTGAGCTTGGGAAAGACATGTTCTTACAACTACTGCCCCATCAGAAGGGTGGGGATCGATTGGATTAGCTTAATTGAGCAGTGCTGGTGAACATCTGAAGGTGGTCTACAATAGCTGCAATTATCAGGGCTCTCACATGAGCTGGAGGAGTTTTTTTCAGCTCCTTTGGAGCCAACAGTGCTGCTACTAACCTGAATACCTTCTGGAACTTTTCCATCAAAAGGAAAAGGCTGATTTTCTATCAGCCCCATCAAAGGCTGCTGTAGGTGCAAAAGTTGAGCTTTTCACTGCTCCTCACTAATAGTTCTCTGGAAAAAAGAGTCACCTGTCATGCCCTGTTCCTTCAGGGATGCTTTAGGACAGACAGGATCTTGCTGTGAAGCCTCTAGGACTGGCTTGCAGAAGGATGCTGGCGAGAAGAGCAGCAGTTCTGACCTCCCTACTACTGACCTTCAGCAAAGCTGTGCTAACAAACCCTACCAAATCTTGCAGTTTCCTCAAGAGACCCATAACATTTTCCAGAGGCTGTCGTTCAAAGACAGAGCTTATTACCACGAGTGGTTCTGGAGACCAAAAGCCTACAGCGATTCCAACAGGCCAGTAAGCAACTTCTAGGAAGGAAGTTCATTGATGTCTACTGGCTCAGGAGCTGCATTCCCAGTGCCTTGCGATGCAGCTCCTGTTACAAGCAGTCCCTCAGTCACCGCCAACCAGAGAGGGATGCTGGGGACTTGCTTTCTCTTCTGGTCTTTCCTCAGCATCTAAGCAATCACTTGGAGGATCTTGGGACTCACCCAAGGCAGCAGTCCTGGTGACATAAGTTGTAAAAGATTTAGTGACTCAGACACAGCCCAGCTGCTGAAGACACACCCTGTCTGTGAGCAGATGGACTTCCATCAAACCCAAGAAATTTGTTCTAGATAGAAATTCACAGGTGTGAGCTGAGGGTGCTCTTCAAAACTTGGGACAGCATGAAGGCAACATGGCCCTCACAACAAAGGAAAAGTATTTTTTTCTAAGACCAGTATCTTGCTTTCAAGTCCTTCATGACTCTTGACTGCTCGGGATCAGCCAAGATGCTGCTGACCACTGACGACGGGCCAAGCAAGAGATGCACGGTAACGCTTTACTGAAAATTTCCAAAACTCTTTCAGCTCAGTCTTTGAGTCATGCAGCGTAGTTGAGTAACTAAATACAGTGCTTCCACATGCCTGTAGGGAAGAGCCTGTTAAAGCAAAGATCATGCCTTTTACCTGCACTGGAGAGACAACTGGGGCTGTGAGCCCTTGCTCATGGGCCACTCAGAAGAAACGTGTAGCCTGTAAAACATTGCTGCAGGCCATGTTGACCTGAAGAGCAAGGAATGAGGTTGTTTGCACCACAGTGCTTGCTTAGTGTTTTGCCTGTGGGACAGCAAAGCCTGGAACCCAGTAAACTAAAGATTAAACTCTGGTCTACATAGTCTCTACTAGATCTAATGTCTTCTGTTTGGGTGGGATGCTCGGCACCACTGGAGCTACACCTGCATCGTTGACAAACTGGAGCATTGACACCGCAGGTACTGTGAGAGCACCTTGTATTCCCACAGGCTGTAACACACGTGTGGAGCTCCATACGAGCTCACATCTTGATCCCAAAAAGATTTGCTGGCAGGACGGCTCGTGTTTGCAGCATGCAGAAGTCACCGTCCCCCAGCGCAGT